CCTCCACAGTGTCCCCGGCCATCCTTACGTCCACTTTCCTGGTTGAGTCTCCCCCTCAGTAACTTGAGGCCAATGGTCCTCGCCAGTCTTCGAGATCACTGCCCATCTGTGCCACTCATTCAGGAATAGGGGAATCCAGGCCCACCCTCTACTCTGGGTTCCAGGCCAGGGCCCCAAGCTCCTGCACCGAGGTCTGTGCTACCCTAAACCTTCCTGTCTCTCCCCAGGACAACTTCCCAGGCTTGCCTTTTCCATCCTTCCTCTTCAGTCCAAAACCCCTTTTGCCAGGGGAGCAGCAGTAGCTCTTTTCCTGCTACGAGCTCCCTGGTTTCACGGAAACCCCTCCTGTCCCTACACAGGTGAGCTTCCCCCATTAAGGTTCTCCTCTCAGTGTAAACTACGTGAACCCCTTCAGTGCGAGCATGGGGAACACGGCCCGTCCCAGGCACGCTCGGAGACAAAACTGTGGTCAGTGTCCTCGATAAAGGACAGTCGGAAAGGTTGGCGAGGGAGCCCTGTTTGCCGAACCTCACAAACCATAAAGCCACAAATCATCTCTCGGCCAGCTACTGCCCAGCGCGAAGGGGCTCTTGCCCAAAAGAGGACTCAGGGCAGCGTGGGCCTGGGCCCAGCCATCCAAACTTGGCAGCCAAGCGGAATCAACAACAGCTTCTTCTCAGGTGCTGGGTTGTGTCACAGAAAGTAAACTGATAATGGAAGTCAGGGGCACGTGCCAGAATGATACCGAGACTTGGAGGGCAATTTTGTGCGAGAGATGACAAGCAAAACAGACTGAGCCAATGATAAGGAATGAGCTCTAACTGGTAAGCATTAACAACCTCTGACTCACCCACGGGAAGATTTAACACTGAGCCATCAGCAATGCTCTGATACACTACTCAGCCCTGGGTGGGGGACCTTGTTTGTTTGACATGGGATTTACTGGGCGTGATTTTGAGAAAGAAGAAAGGGAGGTGTTGCCCATGGTGCCACTGTGTCTTTGAAATTAGGTTGGTCTACAACTGGGACACCTAGGAAAGCTAATCCAGATCAACGAAAGGGGTGAACTGGAAGAGGATTACTTAAACCCCGTTCAATCCCAGTGTGGAGACTGTTGTGCAGAATTAAAGTGGCCTTAATTCCGTTTAGCTGAATGGTGAATTAAACTAAAGCAAATTCAGGCCATTTGAACAATGAATAACAGCATCCACACAGGGACTGAAGTGGCTGAACAAATCCACTTCTATTCACACCTCTGGTTCATTCAGATTTATTTCCCTGCATGTCCCCGTGTAGGGCAGCGTTTAATCGTGTGTAATCACCAGATGCAGATAGAGGGTGCACACCCCAGTCTGCGTCTTTGGAGCCATCCTGTAATGTAACGAATAAAGAGAGTTCTGCTTTACAGTGTACATCCCTGGTCTCACTCCGGTTCCTGAAGGGCAGAGGCTGCCGTACATTCATGAGGAAAACGCCCTCGGCTGCTTGTGCCTGCTAGAAAACAGGACGGTCCCGGGCCATCCGCCCTGAGCACTCCCAGCTTATCTTCTCTCCTGTGCCACTTCTCCGCTAGTGCCGAGCCAGGACTCCTGCTTCTGGGACTCCCCTCCCCAGTGCCAACCCTCTTGTTTTGGGCTCTGCTTCTTCCCCTAGTTCCTAGGGGCCCCCTGTGCAAGTGCTCCTGCCCGCAGCTGCCAAGGGGCAAAATGTGTGTGTGTGGGGGGGTGTTATGGGGCGAGAGGGAAAGGATTACCACCTTGAAGCACTGGGGTCAGCAGTGACACCAAGGCGAGAGTGTCCCCACCCGCGCTCCCTGCAGTGCAGTGCCCCCTAGTACTGCACTGGGGTACTGGGGTCAGCATGTACTGCAAGGGGAGAGCACCTCCATCCCTGCAACACAGCGCCCCCTAGCATTGCACTGCATGGTGAATAAACGTACCCTCGAGAGCCACTCCCCCGCAGGACAGGGGCAGTCTCCCGGAGGGGGGCGGGGGGGCCCATGGTGGGAAGCTTGCACTGCTGCTGACCCTATTCTGAGCAGGAAGCCACCCTGAAGAGGTTTGGCTAACCAGGAAGCAATGCTTCCATTTGGAAAAAACTCTCCCATCCCACACCTGGGCCATTTCTTTAGGTGCCTAAATATAGATGTCAGAACCTAACGGCAAGCCCTTGTGTCTGAGCATCTGGCCCAGAGCCAGGAGAAAGACTACATCTTTCCAAACAGGGAAGTGTCCTGCATTGCTGTGGGCGCTGGCCTGCCTGGTTACACCTGTAAGCCTTGCTTGGCCTATTTAAAAGCCTTGACAAGAATCTGTGATTTATACGGATTGGCTCCAACCCCAGCGAGGAAGTGGGACGAGCAAGCGAAGACACGGCTTGGGAAAGAAAGGGAATCGCGAGTGGAGAAAGTGTCACTGAACAGAGCACAGAGCAAGGTGCCAGTGTGTAAGGCCCTGGAGTGAGGACTGAAGCCATATTGCCGGCTCTGTGCTGATTTAGAACCTCAGATGGGTCACCTCTCTGGGCGGTTTTGTGTCTTTAGCTGAGGGCTCCTTGAGGGACTGTCGGGACAAGGTGATGTCTCAGCATCACAGGTGAGCTTGCAGCTCAGATTCGCACATTCTAGCCTCCGGACTATGGCAGCGAAGGCCAGCGTCTTTTCGTTATGGCTTTTGCATCTCCTCGCTGGAGATCTGATATCTGTTTTGTTAGACTCATGAGAAAATCCATCTCTGATGGAACGGAAAGCTATCTGTCCAAAGGACTTGGCTGGCTCCCCTCTCTACAGCATCTGAGCCCCTCGTAATCTTTAATGTATTTATTGTCACAAGGCCCCTGAGGTAAGGCACTACTGTTATCTCCATTTCACAGATGGGGAAACCGAGGCACAGAGAGACTAAGTGACTTGCCCAGTGTCACACCAGAAGACAATGACGGAGCAAGGAATCGAATCCTGGTCTCCCAGAGGACAGGTTAGCGCTCTAAGCACTGAGCCATCCTTCCTCTCTGGTGTTACCTGAAAGCACTGTTTAGTAAACTCCTAATCATCACGGTCTCTTGCCTCTAGCCAAACAAGCTGGTTCTTACCCTTCTCAAGGTGCTTATCTAAGGGTATGTCTACACTACGGAATAAGGTCGAATTTATAGAAGTCGGTTTTTTAGAAATCGGTTTTATATATTCAAGTGTGTGTGTCCCCACAGAAAATGCTCTAAGTGCATTAAGTGCATTAACTCGGCGGAGTGCTTCCACAGTACCGAGGCTAGAGTCGACTTCCGGAGCGTTGCACTGTGGATAGCTATCCCACAGTTCCCGCAGTCTCCGCTGCCCATTGGAATTCTGGGTTGAGATCCCAATGCCTGATGGGACTAAAACATTGTCGCGGGTGGTTCTGGGTACATATCGTCAGGCCCCCGTTCCCTCCCTCCCTCCGTGAAAGCAAGGGCAGACAATCGTTTCGCGCCTTTTTTCCTGAGTTACCTGTGCAGACGCCATACCACGGCAAGCATGGAGCCCGCTCAGGTAACCGTCACCGTATGTCTCCTGGGTGCTGGCAGACGCGGTACGGCTTTGCTACACAGTAGCAGCAACCCCTTGCCTTGTGGCAGCAGACGGTACAGTACGACTGGTAGCCGTCATCGTCATGTCTGAGGTGCTCCTGGCCACGTCGGCTGGGAGCGCCTGGACAGACATGGGTACAGGGACTTAATTTAGAGTGACTTGACCAGGTCATTCTCTTTAGTCCTGCAGTCAGTCCTATTGAACCGTCTTATTGTGAGCAGGCAGGCGATACGGATTGCTAGCAGTCGTACTGTACCATCTTCTGCCGGGCAGGCAAGAGATGAGGATGGCTAGCAGTCGTACTGTACCATCTTCTGCCGAGCAGCCATGAGATGTGGATGGCATGCAGTCCTTCTGCACCGTCTGCTGCCAGCCAAAGATGTAAAAGATAGATGGAGTGGATCAAAACAAGAAATAGACCAGATTTGTTCTGTATTCATTTGCTTCCCCCCCTCCCCCGTCTAGGGGACTCATTCTTCTAGATCACACTGCAGTCACTCACAGAGAAGGTGCAGCGAGGTAAATCTAGCCATGTATCAATCAGAGGCCAGGCTAACCTTCTTGTTCCAATAAGAACGATAACTTAGGTGCACCATTTCTTATTGGAACCCTCCGTGAAGTCCTGCCTGAAATACTCCTTAATGTAAAGACACCCCCTTTGTTGATTTTAGCTCCCTGAAGCCAACCCTGTAAGCCGTGTCCTCAGTCGCCCCTCCCTGCGTCAGAGCTCTGTTAGTGTGGGAGGACAGCATGAGCTCGGAGAACATTTCATCGCGAGTGCGTTTTTTTTTCTTTCTAAGCTTCACTAGCCTCTGGGAAGGAGAAGATCCTGTGATCATTGAAACACATGCAGCTGGTGGAGAAAAAAAAAGGGACAGCGGTATTTAAAAAGACACATTTTATAAAACAGTGGCTACACTCTTTCAGGGTAAACCTTGCTGTTAACATTACATACATAGCACATGTGCTTTCGTTACAAGGTCGCATTTTGCCTCCCCCCACCGCGTGGCTACCCCCTCAACCCTCCCCCCTCCCCGTGGCTAACAGCGGGGAACATTTCTGTTTAGCCACAGGCAAACAGCCCAGCAGGAATGGGCTCCTCTGAGTGTCCCCTGAAGAAAAGCACTCTATTTCAACCAGGTGACCATGAATTATATCTCACTCTCCTGAGGATAACACAGAGAGATAAAGAACGGATGTTGTTTGAATGCCAGCAAACATACACTGCAATGCTTTGTTCTACAATGATTCCCGAGTACGTGTTACTGGCCTGGAGTGGTAAAGTGTCCTACCATGAAGGACGCAATAAGGCTGCCCTCCCCAGAAACCTTCTGCAAAGGCTTTAGGAGTACATCTAGGAGAACCGCGAATGCCAGGGCAAAGTAATCCTTTCACATGCTTGCTTTTAAACCATGTATAGTATTTTAAAAGGTACACTCACCAGAGGTCCCTTCTCCGCCTGCTGGGTCCAGGAGGCAGCCTTGGGTGGGTTCGGGGGGTACTGGCTCCAGGTCCAGGGTGAGAAACAGTTCCTGGCTGTCAGGAAAACCGGTTTCTCTGCTTGCTTGCTCTGAGCTATCTACAACCTCCTCCTCCTCCTCATCATCTTCTTCGTCCCCAAAACCTGCTTCCGTATTGCCTCCATCTCCATTGAAGGAGTCAAACAACACGGCTGGGGTAGTGGTGGCTGAACCCCCTAAAATGGCATGCAGCTCATCATAGAAGCGGCATGGTTGGGGCTCTGACCCGGAGCGGCCGTTCGCCTCTCTGGTTTTCTGGTAGGCTTGCCTCAGCTCCTTCAGTTTCATGCGGCACTGCTTCGGGTCCCTGTTATGGCCTCTGTCCTTCATGCCCTGGGAGATTTTGACAAAGGTTTTGGCATTTCAAAAACTGGAACGGAGTTCTGATAGCACGGATTCCTCTCCCCAAACAGCGATCAGATCCCGTACCTCCCGTTCGGTCCATGCTGGAGCTCTTTTGCGATTCTGGGACTCCATCATGGTCACCTGTGCTGATGAGCTCTGCATGGTCACCTGCAGCTTGCCACGCTGGCCAAACAGGAAATGAGATTTAAAAGTTCGTGGTTCTTTTCCTGTCTACCTGGCCAGTGCATCTGAGTTGAGAGTGCTGTCCAGAGCGGTCACAATGGAGCACTCTGGGATAACTCCCGGAGACCAATACCATCGAATTGTGTCCACAGTACCCCAAATTCGAGCCGGCAAGGTCAATTTAAGCACTAATCCACTTGTCAGGGGTGGAGTAAGGAAATCGATTTTAAGAGCCCTTTAAGTCAAAATAAAGGGCTTCATTGCGTGGACGGGTGCAGGTTTACATCGATTTAACGCTGCTAAATTCGACCTAAAGTCCTAGTGTAGACCAGGGCTAAGGACGGTTACTCCTACCCTATAAAAGAGGGTAGGAAACAAAAGCAAAGAGATTTGCTTAAGGCCAGACAGCAGGTTAATGGCTGGAATATCATGCACGTCTCCCCGCTGGACCATACTCCTCCGCTTTACACTGCTCTCAGGGGGAGTCCAAAGGCCCAGCCCCTAACACAATAGGGCATCAAAACTTACTGGGGGTTCTAGCTTCTACTGTAATAGAAATCATAAATAGCAGTAATGGAATACACTGACCAAGCACGCCTGCTACGGCTGATCCGAAAGGGATAACTGCCTTCTATTGCTTCCAGCTGCTGGAATGAGTCCATTAGCTCACACGGTTGAGATCTGGGCTCTGGAGCTAAAGATGACAGGCTCAGTCCCTGCCGCTGACCGACGGGTGATACAGCAGTCATAACAAGTGACCAGTCAGGAGACAGGAAAGAGGCACCAAAAAGATCTGAAAGTGCCTTACAGAGAGAGACTTAATGAGCACCATCACAGAAATGTCAGGTTGGAAGGGACCACAAGAGGTCATCCAGTCAAGCCTCCTGCACTGAGATAGGACGAAATAAACCAGCCCAGCCCTGACAGGCATTTGTCCAACTTGTTCTTTAAAATCTCCAGTGATGGGGATCCCACGACCTCCCTTGGACGCCTGTTCCAGAGCTTCACTCCCCTGAGAGTTAGAAAGTTTGTCCTGATATCTCACCGAAATCTCCCTTGCTGCAGATTAACCCATTGCTTCTTATCCTACCTACAGAGGGCATGGAGAACAATTGATCACCATCCTCTTTGTAACAGTCCTTAACATCTATGACGACTGCTCTCAGGTCCGCTCCCCCGGCAGTCTCCTTCTCACAAGAGTGAACAGGCCTATATTTTTTATCCTTTCCTCCTCACAGGTCAGGTTTGCTAAACCTTTTGTCATTTTTTTGCTCTGCTCCAGACTCTCTCCAGTTTGTCCACATCCTTCCTAGACTGCGGCCTCCCCCCGCAGGCAGACACAGCACTCCACCCGAAGCCTCACCAGTGCTGACTGGAGCAGGACAATTACCTCTCATCTCTTACACCTAGCACTCCATCTGCTTCACATATCTAAAAGGATACAGAGAGTTGATTACAATGTATCAGTACCTTCACGGGAGAAAATACCAGGTACTAACCCAGGTGTGGCCAACCTGTGGCTCCGAAGTCACATGCAGCTCTTCGGAAGTTAGTATGTGGCTCCTTGTACAGACACCGACTCTGGGGGCTGGAGCTACCGGCACCGACTTTCCAAGGTGCCAGGGGGTGCTCACTGCTCCACCCCTGGCTCTGCCCCCACTCCACCCCTTCCTGCTATGCCCTCGCTCCCCCCCGCCCCTCCAAGCCTCCTGCCCACCACAAAACAGCTGATCGGGAGATGCAGGGAGGCGCTGATTGGCGGAGCTGCCGGTGGGCGGGAGGCGCTGGGAGTCGGGGGGGGGGAGCTGCTGACGTATTACTGTGGCTCTTTGGCAACATACACTGGTAAATTCTGGCTCCTTCTCACTCTCAGGTTGGCCACCCCTGTACTAAAGGCTCTTTAAGCTACTGGAGGAAGGCCGAACAGAACTGATGACAGAGATCCCCTTGGGACTGTCACCTGATGTGCTGAAATTACCTCTGAGCTCGTTATTCCTGCCAGCTTGGGACTCCAGAACCCTGCCTTGTTGAGCCAGACACGCTAGCCTGCTGCAACACAGACCCAGGGTCTGGTCCACGCCCCCAAAGCTGCAGATTTAACTGAAAACAGCTCAGCAAGTTACTTATCTCCAGGACCCAGACACCCAGCTCCCAATAAGATCGAAACTCTAAATAAATCCCTTTTACTCTACATAAAGCTTATACAGAGTAAATTCGTAAATTGTTCGCCCTCTATATCACTGATAGAGAAAGATGCATGACTGTTTGCTCCCCCAAATATTAATCACTTACTCTGGATTTATTAATAAACTAAAGTGATTATATTAAGTATAAAAAGTAGGATTTAAGTGGTTTCAAATAATAACAGACCGAACAAAGTAAGTCACCAAGCAAAATAAAGTAAAAAACACATAAGTCTAAGCCTCATACATTAAGAAACTGATTACAGGTAATATCTGACCCTCAAAGATCTTCCAATAAGCTTCTTTCACAGACTAGATTCCTTCCTAGTCTGGGCCCAATCTTCTCCCCTGGTACAGTCTTTGTTGGATCCAGCAGACATCTCAGGTGGTAAGCCAGGGTCTTCTCATGACTGGTTTCAGAGTAACAGCCGTGTTAGTCTGTATTCGCAAAAAGAAAAGGAGTACTTGTGGCACCTTAGAGACTAACCAATTTATTTGAGCATAAGCTTTCGTGAGCTACAGCTCACTTCATCGGATGCATACTGTGGAAAGTATAGAACATCTTTTTATACACACAAAGCATGAAAAAATGGGTGTTTACCACTACAAAAGGTTTTCTCTCCCCCCACCCCACTCTCCTGCTGGAAATAGCTTATCTAAAGTGATCACTCATGGTGGAATTGCTCAAGAAACTCCCTGAAAAAGCACAAGATCAAATCCGCACAGACACACCCCTGGAATCCCGACCTGGGATATTCTATCTACTACCCAAGATCCATAAACCTGGAAATCCTGGGCGCCCCATCATCTCAGGCATTGGCACCCTGACAGCAGGATTGTCTGGCTATGTGGACTCCCTCCTCAGGCCCTATGCTACCAGCACTCCCAGCTACCTTCGAGACACCACTGACTTCCTGAGGAAACTACAATCCATCGGTGATCTTCCTGATAACACCATCCTGGCCACTATGGATGTAGAAGCCCTTTACACCAACATTCTACACAAAGATGGACTACAAGCCATCAGGAACAGTATCCCCGATAATGTCACGGCTAACCTGGTGGCTGAACTTTGTGACTTTGTCCTTACCCATAACTATTTCACATTTGGGGACAATGTATACCTTCAGATCAGCGGCACTGCTATGGGTACCTGCATGGCCCCACAGTATGCCAACATTTTTATGGCTGACTTAGAACAACGCTTCCTCAGCTCTCGTCCCCTAACGCCCCGACTCTACTTGCGCTATACTGATGACATCTTCATCATCTGGACCCATGGAAAAGAAGCCCTTGAGGAATTCCACCATGATTTCAACAATTTCCATCCCACCATCAACCTCAGCCTGGTCCAGTCCACACAAGAGATCCACTTCCTGGACACTACAGTGCTAATAAACAATGGTCACATAAACACCACCCTATACCGGAAACCTACTGACCACTATTCCTACCTACATGCCTCCAGCTTTCACCCTGACCACACCACACGATCCATCGTCTACAGCCAAGCTCTGCGATACAACCGCATTTGCTCCAACCCCTCAGACAGAGACAAACACCTACAAGAGCTCTATCAAGCATTCTTACAACTACAATACCCACCTGCGGAAGTGAAGAAACAGATTGATAGAGCCAGAAGAGTTCCCAGAAGTCTCCTACTACAGGACAGGCCTAACAAAGAAAATAACAGAACGCCACTAGCCGTCACCTTCAGCCCCCAACTAAAACCCCTCCAACGCATTATTAAGGATCTACAACCTATCCTGAAGGATGACCCAACACTCTCACAAATCTTGGGAGACAGGCCAGTCCTTGCCTACAGACAGCCCCGCAACCTGAAGCAAATACTCACCAACAACCACATACCACACAACAGAACCACTAACCCAGGAACCTATCCTTGCAACAAAGCCCGTTGCCAACTGTGCCCACATATCTATTCAGGGGACACCATCACAGGGCCTAATAACATCAGCCACACTATCAGAGGCTCGTTCACCTGCACATCCACCAATGTGATATATGCCATCATGTGCCAGCAATGCCCCTCTGCCATGTACATTGGTCAAACTGGACAGTCTCTACGTAAAAGAATAAATGGACACAAATCAGATGTCAAGAATTATAACATTCATAAACCAGTCGGAGAACACTTCAATCTCTCTGGTCACACAATTACAGACATGAAAGTTGCGATATTACAACAAAAAAACTTCAAAACCAGACTCCAGGGAGAGACTGTTGAATTGGAATTCATTTGCAAATTGGATACAATTATCTTAGGCTTGAATAGAGACTGGGAGTGGCTAAGTCATTATGCAAGGTAACCTATTTCCCCTTGTTTTTTCCTACCCCCCCCCACCCACCCCAGACGTTCTTGTTAAACCCTGGATTTGTGCTGGAAATGGCCCACCTTGATTATCATACACATTGTAAGGAGAGTGATCACTTTAGATAAGCTATTGCCAGCAGGAGAGTGGGGTGGGGGGAGGTATTTTTTCATGCTTTGTGTGTATAAAAGATCTTCTACACTTTCCACTGAATGCATCCGATGAAGTGAGCTGTAGCTCACGAAAGCTTATGCTCAAATAAATTGGTTAGTCTCTAAGGTGCCACAAGTACTCCTTTTCTTTTTGCGAATACAGACTAACACGACTGTTACTCTGAAACCTGTCATTATGCAAGGCACTGCATTTAGCCGTATGGAGTGGAAATCTATCAACTGCATGAAAAAACTTGTACAGATACAGACAGACATCATCTTCCTTTCCAAATGCAAACAGATGGACATCATACCAAAAGGACTGAAGGTAAAAAATCCATTACAATCTACATACCACACAGACTATGCTGATAGCTTGTGCCACATGGTCTCAAAGAAACTGCGGAACCACCTGATCAACATCCTCTACGGCAAACAGGGAAAGATAAAGAATGAGCTCTCAAAAATGGATACTCTCATAAAAAAAACAACCTTCCACACAAACTTCCTCGTGGCTGGACTTTACTAAAACTAGACAAGCCATTTACAACACACACTTTGCTTCTCTACAAAAGAAAAAGGACACTAAACTTTCTAAACTACTACATGCCACAAGGGGCCACAGCAATGGTTCCCTCAACCCACCCAGCAATATTGTTAACCTATCCAACCATACTCTCATCCCAGCAGAAGCAGCTGTCCTATCTCGGGGCCTCTCCTTCTGCCCCTCCACTCCCACGAACATGATACATTTGTGGTGACCTAGAATCCTATTTTCAACGTCTCTGACTCAAGGAATATTTCCAACACACCTCTGAACAACATACTAACCCACAGAGACCTTCCTACCAACACTACAAAAAGAAGGATTCTAGGTGGACTCCTCCTGAAGGTCGAGACAGCAGACTGGATTTCTACATAGAGTGCTTCCGCCGACATGCACGGGCGGAAATTGTGGAAAAGCAGCATCACTTGCCCCATAACCTCAGCCGTGCGGAACACAAT